TTTTAATTACTGTATATACTCGCGTATCATGTAGTCTAATTAGCTTTAAAATTAGGTCTTCAAAGATTGCATGATACATGAGTATATATGGTAACTTTGTTTATTTTGGACCATGACCAGATCCAACTCGATACCTGTTAAGCTATGGTCTGGAGACAACGTAAAGCACACTTCAGGCTCTGGCCAGTGATGCCCACCTTCAAAAGGAAGGAAACATTTGACTGTTCTAGGAATCCATGGCTCCTGACCTCAATAGGTAACACAATATGTCCACCCATTTTTCACAAAGTCAGATCAGTGATTTGTAATGGTTTTCCTTTTGCTCAAGTGCCTCCTCCCTGTTCTCATGTGGAAGCATTAATTCTACTAGACACAATTCTTTGAATCAGACCATGCTACCAATGTCAAGGCATGCATCTGACTGAATTGTGTGTACAGGAAATTGATGAAGTGTTCTAAGCTCAACTAACATCCTCCAATCACAGACTCCACTCAGTAGTGTCATATTGTGAGTTTAATAGATCTCCATAACGTACATCAATTATAGTAGTAGTTATGCTCCTCCCTTAATTCCCTAAGAAATACCTAATGTTATATGGAAATATGTAACTGTCTTATATATGCGCTGGATCCACCTGCACTGATCACTGCCAAAAATAATTTTGAACACTACTGCAAAAGCCTGAGGCCTTAACTAACCCATGTTTGAAGGTGGAAACGGTGGCATCTGGATTAAGAATTGAAATCAACTTTTCACCTACAAGAAAAGCATTAACCATTTTATAATATCTACCACTTGATAGTCACCAGTTTTCCATTCTAAGTCAATATGAGAAACTTAAGGCTTCTCAGTCACAATTTACAAGCAATCATTTTCCTCTTGATGAAAATTTTCAGCACCAATCCCAAAACCATTGTAAAAAGCAACATGTCTGAATCAAAATGATTAGAAACATTTCAAGTATTGGTTGTGTTAAAAAAAAATGATGTAAGGAAAAGCTTAGAAACATTTTTGGCCTGAGATATGAAGTGTTACTGATCAATGATTTCTTTTTTTTAAATTTCCAACTGGTTTATTTGCCTGTTGGAGAATTTCATTATTAGTCTATATTCTGCTTATAATCCAATGTGTGTTATGTCAGTAGTGCTTAATAAGACTAAATCAATCAGTAATTACACTGGGACATAAATGCATGAGATGCATTATTAGAAACACTCACCTAAAGAACTCTTAAAAAGAGACAATAGTCTTTGAATAAGATTTTGTACTTGTTCGAAAGTATAACAAAAGTAAATTATACACTCAAAAAGATACTAGTTTAAGATAGACAATATCTAATTCAGATTTTTAAAAGTACAATGAAACATGTGAATACCTTGAATTAAGATGACAAAAAATGTATCCTTCATTGTGGTTGCAGGAAAATAAAATTACCATAAGGAAATCTCTATCCAATGCTTCAAACCACACTTCAATTAAATACATATATTTACCAAGAGTATCCCAAGATGAAATTAATATGGAATATAAGTGAGGACAGGGGGTACCACTGATAGAAGACAAAAACACATTATGGTGACCTTTTTTTTTTTGTGTGTGTGTGTGTGTGTGTGTGTGTGTGTGTGTGTGTATTAAATATGTAAAGCAATTTGGCAAAGTTTTTTTTTTTTTTTACATCTTTCACAGATTTACCCAGTGTCATTTTATTTTACAAGAACTGCCTATACTAGAAGAAAACAAAACAATCACATTAAATGTTTGAATAATTTTTTTTCCTTTAAGTGTATCATGACAGAAATTAGATTACAAGTAATTTCTACATAGTATTTTTTTTAATTTTTATCTAAGGTTAACATTGTTTCAGTACTAAAGAAAAAAAGGGTACACAGTCAAATAGTCTAGTTGCATATTAATTGTAAGGAACCTATAGATCTTGGCACAATTTTGAATTGGAAAATGACATTTTAATAAAATGCAGATACAATTTACTCAAAGCAGAATGAATTGAAAGTATCATGTATATTGTCTCCAACAATATATGGCCACACTATTTCAATATAACCCCATTTCTCATAAAATTACTAGTGTAGCAATGTGGGATAGGTAAAAAATAATTATGATTCATGAACATTATATTTTTGGGAAATTAAATTCTTACTGATGCCAGATAACTGGTGAAACTTGTCAAAGTAGAAGAAAAATCTTTGAGACACACACACACACATCTATCTCATTAAAACTGGTTATGGTCCTGCAAATGGGCAAATTTTAAGTGCTCATTCTTAATTTAGAATAATATTAATTAAAGAAACCAAGTTCACCATACAAACTACACTGACCAAACCTTAATCACACAAGCTGAGGTAGAGTGTTCAAGTCTCCTTAATGTTTATCTAATTCCTGATTGTTTAAAAACATTCACGTGAACAGGAATGTGTAGCAACTAAGGTTGTGTATGATTTCCAATTTCATCATTATGAAATAAAATGTCAATGACTTTTAGTAGATTTCTCTGTCATTATTTATTCAGAAAAGCTAAGTCATTAAAGTTCAAATAGATTGTAGAATCATAGTAATCAAGGAAACAATTTCTCAATATAAAAAGGATCTATATAATTATATTTTATGCAAACCTTGTAATTTTTTGGTAACTATCAACAATCCAAAGAACCTTAAAATATGTTTTATCTTGTGCACTATACATCTTACATAAAATGGCCTATCAATGAAACATATCAATAAGAAATCTCTAAAAACTTAACCAACCAACCCATTAAAATGATATGACACCAAACCTGAAAATAAAAGATTGGTCTTGATACTATGAAGGAGTTCTTTAAAAAAAAAAAAGAAAGAAAGAAAAAAAATAAGTAACATCATTGCTCAAGGCCAACAGCTGTCCATGACAAGTTCAGAGCAAATATGAACATATTCCAAATTTGCATTGGCCATTATTAAATCAGAAATTTATAAGGATACTCTTCCAAAATAGATCCGTGATACTTTTGTGTAGCAATACAGGACTTAGGAAAAATGAAAAACAAAAATGTTATTAGAAAGTTATGAATAATTCTTGGTTCAAAAATACAAAGTTTATTAAAATAACCAAATAAAGATCTAAATAAAAAAAAAAAACGGAATTGATGCTACATTATTTTATAATAATAATAATAATAATAATAATAGGAGGGGGATAGGTACTGAAAATTTCTTATCCCAAACCACTCCCAAAAATCTGACCAAACAATTTTTTTCCTTTGAAATCCCTTCTTAGTTGGGTTGAGAACTTTTCATCATTCCCTTATATTTTCTTAGCAGGAAGATTTCTACAAAGAACTTTTATAGGTTAATGACTAGTAAGTATAGACTGAAGACTACAGTGTTTGGTGGGGGATGGTCTTTGTTTATTTTCAATATCAATTAGTATTATAGAAACTTTTTGCAAGGCATTAGAAATCATTTTCAGATTGTAAGAGAGAAATTCAGTTTTAATGCTCTCTCTAAAACAGGTCAGTCTGTTAACTGATAAAAAAAAAAAAAAAATCAGTGTACTTATAATTATTTAATGTTTTCTTTTTCCATGTCTGCTTTGTACAAATTTGTTGAGGCAGTAAAAAGTTTAAAGTATATCCCTGGTATGATAAGTAGTTTTTAAAAAGTGTCTTAAATATTTTTAAAGCCATAATTAAAAACATGGAATTACAAACCAAACAATAAATGGTCAAAACGAATGAACAGGGAAAGGAAAAGTGGAAAAAATAAATGTTTTTTTAATAGGAGATACAATCCAAATTTACAAGTTACTAATTTAAAAAAAAAAAAAAAAGAAAAAAAGATAGCTAATTTTTAAACAAATTATAAACATGCTTTAATATAGTTTTTAATGCATTAAAAAAAAACAAAAAAAAAAAACAGGAAATTTCTTTCTTGCAATGGCCTAGAGTAATAAATATATATTTAGGATAAATAAAAAAAAAAAAAAAAAGAAAAAAAGTTGCTTTTCCAAATTCTGCCAATCTCCTCCATGATTTACTTTATTTTTAAAAATTAAAACCTCCAATAGGTTTTGTATTATGGGAAAAACATTTGGGGTTCATGAATAAAAGTCATGATCCATAAAGGAATAAATGAAGTGGCTGGTGATTTAACTGCCTAAAGCAGCCAACTTAACCAATCAAGTAAACACTCCATCCTCCACCTTGGATAATGCACTAAAGCCCTTATAAAGAAGTAGAGACAAAAAAGCCAGAGTGAGAGAAAGAGAAAGAGAGAACTTTCATTTATATAACTTGCTTCTGTTAAAAATTAGATCTGTATACTTACAACAAAATGATTGTGAATGTGTGTGTGTGTTTATGTTCTGTACTCGTCTGGGAGTGTTTATAGATTTTATATCATTATTATATAAAGAAGTACCATTCATCACTAAGTCATTGAGAGTCATTTCAAGACAACAGCAAAGAGAAAGAAGGGTACCAACAGTTAGACATGCTAATAATAGAATATATCATCATCATCATTATTATTATTATGTTTTTTGCATGTTAACATTTTGTTGTATTTTTTGTTTTTGTCCACCATCTGAAATGAAAACAAATCGTATCAGTTACTCCTAAATGGACTTTGTAAATATTTTCTTTTTTGCATGATAAAGAGTTTTGTTGGTTGGATAAAAGTGATATTTCTTTCCATTTTTAAATGGCCTCAAATTTTTTTCACTTCAATTTTTTTCCCACCAAACAATAACTTTAATTTTTAATTCTTTTCTCAAATTAAAAGGGAAATTTGTTTTTCCTTCTTTTAAAATTTAACCTTCTTTCACTTTTGTACACCTCACTCAAGTCCAATCAGTCATCAATCAATCAAAACGATCACACAGATGAAATGATTTTTATGTTGTTAGGGGTATAGAGAGGTTTAGTAGAACAGAGAATGAGCTAAATATAGTGGGTGCATCAGTTCCTTTTACTCTATCACCTCATCCAGCATTAACTTCCATTTACTTTTCACTAGTTCCAGTAGAAGAACTCGATGATGATGAAGCAACCGTAGAAGTTTGCAAGGAAGTGGAAGTTGATGATGTCACTGTGGGCATGATAGGGGGTGCATTTGGAGATTTGGTCACTCGGCGTGATGCTGACGGGAATGACAAATTTGATGTAGACACGAGACCGCGGTTTGGCAGACGCCGGAGAGTATTCTTATGCTGAAGGTCCCAGTAGGTTTTTGGCTTGTTCATCACTTTTGCTGATGAGACTGAAGACCCAAATGGTGACATAGTAGTGGAAGTAGAGGTGGAAGAGGGGCTGGAGGACGATGGGTGAGAGACGCTAAAAAAGTCTTTGTTGGAAACCACTACATGCTGACTACTGCTGTGGGCACTACCACCACCACCACCACTGCTGCTGCTGCTGCCACCACTGCCTTCAGGTGAAATGAGCAAAAGCTCATTATTCTCATTAAGCATGAATGTCACTACAGATTCTTGTGATGTGGAGGTGTCTGGAACAGTAACATCAGAAGCAGAGATTCGTGGCATTTGGAGATCATCCTTCTCTTTGCCAAGAGAACTCTTCACAATTGAAACTTCCTTTGTTAATATGGGCGGCTCAGAGAAATTTTCAGGCACCGGTTTATCAGCCAGGCTGGTGGATTTGCTTTCAGTTTCAGATATTGATGTTGTCTTTGAGCTTACACCAGATGCCAGACTGTTTTCTCTCAATTTTTCATTTTCAACAGAACTACTCTGTACAGTGATATTGGTGGCAGCTGTGCTAGTGGGGGTAGAGGAGGTAGTAGTGGATGTGGTACTAGTGGGGGTAGAGGCAATGCTAACAGAAATACTGCTATTATTTTCTATAGCCTCACCATCCGCTTCATCATCATCATCCCATTTGAAGGGAAGTGCATCGGGATCCTTTAGGGGTTTGCGCACCCAAGATATGTGCTGCTTGTCAGGGTCAACAGCAGGCTCAAATACCTCACTAGTTGGAGTTGGGTCACTAAGTGTGGGTGAAGGAAGGTTCTTGGTCATGAGAGTTGATTCTCTTTTCTCAATCTTCAGGCCAGGAGATAACACCGCCTTCTGAATGTCAGGTAAGGCTTTTATGATGGCTGGAGCCTGGCTGGCATCCGCTGAAATTCTGAGCCTTTTCAATGGTGGAGACCCTTGCTGATTAACCATCTTGGCAATTTGATTTGGATCACTAACTACTTTTAGCATGCCATCTTGTTCAGTCAAAACAAGTGTCTTTACAACACCAGAGCCACTGCTACTGCTACCAGTGGAAACTAATGAAGGTGATTCAGCCACTCTTTTCAGGACAGTCCGTGGAGTATCCCAGGTCTTAGCTGGTGACCTTTCCCACTCATTGGTGTTATCAGATTTCAAGGCAACACAATCAGAACTCACATTGAGAATATAGTACTCTGGATGTTTCAGGTTGACCCCCTTGTGGGAGGTCAGGTGGTACTTTGTGTCAGACCAATAGTAGCTGGAATAATTGCAAAGTTTACACTTGAATCGATCAAGCCCAAGATGCTTAGCAGCATGGCGCTTCAGGTGCTGCAAGTAGGAAAATGACTGGTTACATTCCAAGCATCGAAGTGTTTGGAAGTCAGAGATCTCCTCAATCTTGCGATTGTGGTTGCACAACTGGACATGCCTCTCAAAATGCTGCCGGAATGAGTAATAGCGATTGCAAGAGTAACACTGAAAGTTACCAATCTTTGCAAGCTCTGATGATTTGAACATTTTGCTTGGGGTCGTGCGCAACTTCTCCAAGTTGGTGACCGTAGACTTGATACATTCTGATGGCTTGCCAGGTGCTTTTGACACCCAAAATGTTTCAAGCTTGACAGGTTGGATCATGTTGGTAGTGAACGAGTAATTCTGATCAGAGTTGCCATCTTTATTTGAAGTGTTAAAGGATCCACTTGCCAGCCTTGGAGTATTAACAGCAGTACTCATGCTGGTTGACTGGTCGCCAGCTGATGAAGTGGCAAGAGGTGTATGCTCAGAATGTTCACTAGATACCTCACCGCCTGCTGTTGACATTGAAATAGAATTGTCACTGATAGATTTCTTCTCACCAACAGTCTTGAAAGCCACAATTTTGGTGAAAGTTTTAGGACGTCCTCTGCGTTTTTTTGAGGTGCTATCTTTCACTGTACTCTCTGTTCGCTTTCGGCATGACTTGACATGAACCTTGATAGAACTTTTCTTGGTAAATGTCTTAAAGCAGAAAGAGCACTTAAACAGCATACATTTCTTTTTGATCTTTTTATGTTTCACTTCAACTACCGATGTCTTGCGGAGTTTGGCTTGCATCTTCTGCAATTGGCATCGCTTCAACCCATGTTCTGACCGCAAGTGTCCAATCAATCCAGAAAAGTAACGTAGAATTTTAGGTTTTTTTTTACAGTAGGGACACTTATAGTTCTTTTCAGGCAACTCATTGTCCTTGCTGCGTTCAGAACGTTTGACTGCTTCAATTACAGGGAAAGTAGCTGACATATCTTTCTCATCAACCCAACAGTTTTTCATCAAATTTCGCCACATAGGGAGCAGCTGTTTATCTTTGAGGAAATGGGGATCTCTCAAGTGAAGAATGAGCTCTGAAAAGGTTTCAAGGCGAGTCTCCTTTTGACAGATTGGACAGACAAAGTGACCTTTAGCATCAGCCAAGTGTTTAGACATGTGCTGTGCAAGCTTACTCATGTTGGTAAGCTCTAGGCCACAATCAGGACAGCGAAGCCGATTTCTTAGCTCATACCGCTCTGGATCATCATCTAAGTCATCTTCATTCATACTTTTGTGTTTATCATCCGATTCTACAGAAACACCTCCTTCCTTATCCTCTTTAATCTCAACACTGTCACTTTTGGCCATTGGTGCTTCTTCAGTAGCAGGATTTGTTGCTGCTGTTGTATCATCAACCTTCTGTTTTTCAACATCCTCATTCATCTCTAGAAGAGGTTGATTTTTATCTTTGTAACGTTGATAGGCATCAAGAACTCCAGCTATTAATGGATTCAGTGTATCAGAAGCATCAGCCTGCTTCTGGTTTGGGATCTCTATTGGTTCAGAAGGACTAACCTTTTCTGGAGTAAGAACTGGAGGTTCATCAGATTTATTCTCAACAGATATAGGTTCTGGTTTTTCAAGCACTGGTTGTTTATCCTGATCACCCTGGATATCTGCCTTTTCGTCTACTGAAGTTGCAGCAGCAGTAGTAGTAGTAGTAGTAGTAAGAGGAGCAGGTGTGGGAGCAAGTATAGGAATAGGAGTAGCAGAAGAAACTTTAGGTCCAAGAGTAAGTTCGGGAAGTGCAGGAGTCGACATAAGAGTAGTCGCTGGTGCAAGAGCAGGAGCAGACTCTTGAGTAAGAGCAGGTGTAGTCGCAGGAGTGGGATCAGAGACAATAGTAGAAGGAATAGGTGCTGGAGCAGGAGTAGGTGCTGGGGTTAGAGAAGAAACAGAAGACACGGGTGCTACAGTAGAAATAGTAAGTGCAGATGGAGCAGGTGACAGAGATGGAATAAGAGCTGGTGCTAAAGTAGATACAGGAGTAGGAGCAGATGCTAGAGTAAGCATAGGTGCAGTAGAGGTAACAGTTGCAGATGTAGCCACAGGAGTTGGTACAGTAGCAGGAGTAGCCACAGGGGCTGGAACGGTAGCAGGCATGGCTGCAGGTGTAGGAATGGCCACAAGTGAGGGAACTGTTGTAGCAGGAGTGGCTGCAAGTGGGGGAACTGCAGCAGCAGGAGCCACTACAGGTACGGGAACTGCGGTAGCAGGAGCTGTCACAAGTGTGGGAACGGTGGCAGGTGTGGGAACTGCAGCCTTCCATGGCCACAGGTGTGGGAACTGTGGTTAGGGTAGGTGTGGGAAACTGTGGCAGTAGGTGTGGAAAAACAGTGGGAAACAGTGGGTAGGTGGAAACAGTGGCGGTAGGTGTGGAAACAGTGGCGGTAAGCGTGCCTACTGGAGTGGGAACTGTAGCAGGTGTGGCCACACAAGTAGAAACTGAAACTGGAGCAGCTGCAGGTGAAAGAACAGTAGCAGGAGTGGATGCAGGTGCTCCGGGTGTAGGAACAGCAGCTGGAGCGGCCACTGACGCGGGAACGGCAGCGGGAGCGGACACAGGCGCGGGAACGGCAGCGGACACAGGCGCGGGAACGGCAGCGGACACAGGCGCGGGAACGGCAGCTGGAGCGGACACAGGCGCGGGAACGGCAGCTGGAGCGGACACAGGCGCGGGAACGGCAGCTGGAGCGGACACAGGCGCTGGGAACGCAGCTGGAGCGACACTTTATTGGAACGCAGCTGGAGGACACAGGCGCGGGAACGGGCAGCTGGAGCGGACACAGGCGCGGAACGGCAGCTGGAGCGGACACTGAGGCGGCCACAGGCGCTGTGGAACGCAAATTGAGCGGATACTGAGGAGGTCACAGGCGCTGGAACGGGCAGCTGGAGCGGACACTGAGGAGGTCACAGGCGGGAACGCAGCTGGAGCGGACACTGAGGAGGTCACAGGCGCGGGAACGGCAGCTGGAGCGGACACTGAGGAGGTGGGCAGGCGGAACGCAGCGGAGCGCCAGTGAGGCGTCACAGGCGCTGAACGGCAGCTGGAGCGGCCAGTGAGGCGGGTTACAGGCGGGAACGCAGCTGGAGCGCCAGTGAGGCGGTCACAGACGCGAGCGCCACTGAGGCGGTCACAGACGCGGGAACGGCAGCTGGAGCGGCCACTGAGGCGGTCACAGACGCGGGAACGGCAGCTGGAGCGGCCACTGAGGCGGTCACAGTCGCGGGAATGGCAGCTGGAGCGGCCACTGAGGCGGTCACAGGCGCAGGAATGGCAGCTGGAGTGGTCGCAGGCGCAGGAACGGCCACATGCGTTGGAACGGCAGCTGGAGCGGTCGCAGACGCGGGAATGGCAGCTGGAGCGGTCGCAGGCGCGGGAACGACAGCGGTCGCAGGCGCGGGAACGACAGCTGGCGCAGTCGCAGGCACGGAAATGGCAGTTGGAACGGTCGCAGGTGCAGGAACAGTAGCCGGACTAGGCACAGAAGCTGCTAGATTAGGTTTTGGTATAGGATCAGGAGGTGGAAGAATAGGTTTAGGATAGGTACCATCCAGAGCAGAAGATACAAGAGTGACTGGTGATGCTAAAGTGGTCACAATAGTGGTCTGGGGTGCAGCAGTCATAGGTGATTCAGGAGTAAATACAGTAGTGTCAAGAGATGTAGGAGGTGCAATAGTAGGCACTGTTGTAGCAATCTGAGGTGAAAGAATAGAAGCAGGTTGGGCAAGAGCAGGGGAGGGAGTTGATGCAGAAATAACCGAAGTAGTAATTATGGGGGTAACTTTTTCTTTTAGCTCTTGAACTACTTTTTTGCTAGGACTGATGCTATGTCCTTCTGTCTTTTGCTTCTTTGAGGGTGGTGGAGCTTCAGCTTTTTTCTGGTTTGCACTGTCCACCTGTTTAACAGCAGAAGCAGTCTCTTTTTTCTGAAGAGAATTGTCTTCTTTCTTAAAAGTAGAGGAACTATCTACCTTTTTAGAAGCAGTAGAATTTTCCTCTTTTCTCTGGCTGGAACTGTCTCCCTTTTTAAAGGGTATTGAGCTTTCTTCTTTTTTCTGGCTATAACTGGTCCTGTCCCCCTTTTTAAAAGGAACTGAACTGTCTTCTTTCTTTTGGCTATTGCTCTCTTTCTCTCCCTTTTTAAAACGAATTGAACTATCTTTATCGCCTTTCTTGAAATGAGCAGAACTTTCCTCTTTCCTTTGGCTAGAACTATCTTTGCCTCCAATTCTGAAAGGAATTGAACTTTCCTCTTTTTTGTGACTTTCTTTTCTTGTGCTGTCATCTTTTTTATGGCTAGAACTATCTCCCTTCTTAACAGAGGTATCCTCTTTTCTATCTCTTTTGGAGCTCCCTTCTTTCCTTTGACTGGAACTATCTTTTCTTGAACATTCCTCTCTTCTTTGGCCAGAAGTATCATTCTTTTTTAGCGATGAGGAGACATCATTCTTTTTGTGACTGGAAGCGTCCTTTTTTTGAATAGCAACCTCTTTCTTCTGACTGGAAATGTCTCCTTTTCTAGAAGAGCTTTCTTCTTGCTTATGTCCTGAACTGTCCCCTTTCTTTGGCTGACTGCTGTCTTTCTTATGCACAACATTATCTCCCTTTTTAGAAGGGCTTACATCTTTTTTCACTGCCTGGCTGTCCTCTTTTTTAGAAACAGTACTATCTGTTTTACGCAAACTGCGTAACTTCATTGTGTCATTGCTTTCAACAGAGGCAGTCACCCTAACGGTTGTGGTCGATGGTTTTGTTTGGCTCTTATCCGATACACTTTCTTTTTCAACTTCTTTTGATTTTGCAGATTTTAGGGCCGATGATTTCTTAACCTGGTCAGTCTTTTGTGAATCTTTTACAGAGGTAGCCTCAGTAGGCCTCTCTATCTTTTCTGTGTTGGTGATGCTGTTTTCCTTATCAGTTTTCTCTTCACTGGTCTTACTGACTGGCAGAGGTACTGTAAATCTGACAACATACTGAAGGCAATGGACCTTTTTGTGGTTTAGGAAACTGGTCATAACACGGAACAAATTTCGGCAGATTTTGCATTCCAAGATGATATCACACTCATGGCTGAGGCAGTGTTTGTCTTCTGGCTCTCCTGACTCAAGAGTGGATAGCACTTGATCAATCACTGTAGTAGGGGGTGTCATTATCACCCCACCAGGGTGAGCCTGGTTTGCTTCACTCATCTTCAATATCTGTAAAGAACAACAAGAAATATGTGAAACAAAATTTTAAAATCTAAACAGGCAAGCAAAATAGGATTATTTTCAACAATTTTTTTATTGAAGTTCTGAACAAGGTTCTCTATACATAGTTAATAGAATAAATAAAAAAAAAGTACTTCAACTTTGAGAATGTTACATTTTAAAGTTATAAAAAAGTTGAATCGCAATCCTTATACAAGTTTCTAAAAGTTCACAATAAAGTCTATAATTTTATTAATACTAAAGAGAAAATATTCATAATCTCAGTATCTGAATTACAAAACATTCATACTGAAATTAAAGAGTAATTAACACTGAATCACCACAAATCTCATCTATAAAGTATATATATTTTACAAAAAAAAAAAAAAAAAAGTTCTATAAATTTTATATTATTAATTGAATTTGAATTGTTCATATTATTTTGTACATTGAGCCTTCTTGAATTTTAATTAAGAACAAATTTCGGTGGCATCTAAATCATTGGAGACAAGTTCATCCCAAAAATTGTATTCTCCAAATTGTAATCAGAAAGTCTTCAATCCTCAACACATCATTGCCTTCTGATATTGATATTGCATCAGGAAAAATGTAATCATAAGAATAGACGTATAGTTAACATAGCAGTTAGCATCACACTAAATGGGATCATTAAACTACGCTTAAATTCAACTGAGGTTATTGCATTCACTTAACATTAGGCTACTCCACTTTTTCATGGGAAAACAGCATAGCGTAATGAAAAAGGCCACAAATTTAACGAAAATAAATTTTTTATCGTCAAAATATTTGTTATTATTAAGATGAAAGACCAAAGTATTTTTAATTATTTTTTGAAATTTTTGAATCCTTTCTAACACGTTCAAAATTTTGGTTAAAGTCTTCTTTTGTTTACATCATCTCGGTAGCAGAAAATAAGTTTTTTTTTTTGCGCTTTTTTCCGTTGAAAACACATTGATTTGGAAATTCTTGTAAAAATCAAGTAATTGTCTGATTTTAATGAAATTTTCAGGACTTATTCACAAATGAATGAAATTAATTTTGAAACATTTTTTTTTTTTTTTATGAAAATTTGGTAAAAAATATATTTTTTTAAAATATGTTACCCACCCCTTACTTAATTTCATGAAATTTTGCACAAAACCTTTCTATTTCCTGAAATTTTTTTTTTTTGTTAAAAGTATGAGTCCTTGGAGATTGTAAATCACCTACATTTTTCTCTCCAAATTTGAGATATCTAACTGAAAATCTGCTCTGAATTGAAAAATAATGAATCCAATAAAATTATGACATTACTTAATTAGAAAAGCTTTTAAAGTAATATTAAGGACATTATTGTCTGAAGAAATAAAATTTTTTCTGATGAATAATGTAGTTTTACAAGAATTTTTAAATTTTTTTAAAAAATTTTAATTATAATAATTTATAATAGTTTAAAATCATGTAAAATTCTGTATTGGGCTATTTCCTGGATATGATATAGTAATTAAGTGGAAACAAAATTTATAAATCCAAAATTGAAAAGATTAATCAACTTAGTTGTGCTATTCTATTTTTAAAATATTTTTTTATTTCGTATTTTTTTACTTAATACGTTCATTATTTTCATGTATGGTAGACTGAAATTGCCATTATTATGATCTAAAAGTTTTGTCCCTTTATTATGTCGCTTCAGTTATGTTTCAACAGGTTTTCAAAATTTCTATCCAGCTTTAAAAGTTTAAAGCTTAAACTAAGTTTTACTTTTTTCAATTACTATTTCGCTAAATATTTTTATTTTATGTATTTACATTAGTGTGGGACATACTTCAATTGAGTAATCATGGTATTTCATTTGTTATAAAATTAATTGAATAAAATTTCATAGTATTTTAAATTTTTTATTTTTGCATCTTCGAAAGGTAAATAAAAGTCAATAATATATTAAATAATTGTGGAAAATATGTTCATTTGTAAAAATTACTAGGTAGTTAAAAACCAAAAATATGCGTTCACTTAGATTTCTGACAATTGGATCATCCATAGTAGCTCTCATCGCTTCGTCTATCAGCAGTCCATCAAACGTTGGATCAGATGAACAGGACAAATCATTAATAATTGGTTGTATATTATTTTTTTTATGTTAGAAGTAAGTAATATTTATTTCAAATCAGATTAATTTAACTTTAAATTTTCTAATTTCATGTCAGAAATATATATTTATTTTTTGAAAGAATTTTAAAAATAGAAAAATTTGTTTTGTTTACAAATTTCTTAAAATTAAGAAAATGGCCGCTTTTAAGAAAATTTTAAGAAATCAAAATTAAATTTGACATTCCAATCTATATAATTTCTATCTGAAATACTCCAGAATATTTTACTTAATGGAAATAATAAATTTAATTATTAAAGATTCAATTAAAGCTAAAATGAAATCTTCAAGAAAGATTTTCATTTTTAAAATTTAATTTTAAATTTTAGGTATCAAAAATTCATGCCAAAAAGTGAAGGGACCTACTTGACATTAATGCACTTAAAATTGGTATTAAACCACTTCCCCTTAGCTATGAGTAAAATAATAGAGTAGACTAGGCAACCAGCCTAGCATAAAAACACTAAATTAAAAACCATGAGAAAGAAATGGGAAATCATTCCACTACATTTCTCAAGGACAGTCTTGGCAATTCAGATTAAACAAAAAAAGAAAAAAAGAGGAAGCTATAGAAATCCATGATCACCTATGATCTAAAGGGACATAGCAAACTAATATTTTTATACTAAGCAATAGATAATAAAAGACTTTACTGAAACAATATACTCTAAACTATCATGCTATAACTGTGCTTAAAATTTTATTGCTCCAGGAACAGTAAATTTTCTTAGTGTTGAATTATAATAAAGATCCAGTCATAAATTATTTGTGGAGGACTAACTACTTAAAAGTAACAATAAAATTAAAGTGGTTTAAAAATAATTGTACAATTCATGTCTTAGAATTTATGAGAATGCCTCTTGGATACCCAACAAAATATGTGTTACAGCAGCAAATATATAATTTTAAATAGCTCCAGGGATTTTAATAAGTCATTTTAAGAAATATTATGCTCCAAAGTTAACAGTCTGTTTTAATTTAATTTTGAAATGTTTTCTTCTTGACAATCACAGATTTAGTGGTAACTCTGCTCAAAGATACTTTTGGATCATCATAACTTGGAGCCTTGTTCATCTCATGCGCAGTTAATAAAAAAAGTAACATCACAATCTAATTTTTTGTAGCATTTCTAGGGTTTGAAAATGATCTGATTAAAAAAACAACAAAATTGTACCAGTTTTAAAGGCAAACCTGAACATGTGAGACAATCTGCATTCACTGAATAGAGCATGTTAAAAAAAAAAAAAAAAGTGACAAGATATCTGTAGACAATAACAGTCAGTGTAAAGAAAATGACCTCTTGTAGATTAAATAAAGGGATCAGCAGTTCAAAATATGTCAACAGATACCTGAAGGCTGGATTTGTGATAAGGATCAGAACTTAAATCGAAAGGTTTATAACTCATTCAAAAAATTCAGACAAAATTTACTTGGCACTAGTTTATCAACTTGGTGGCTTGATTTTTATAACTTCCAATAAAGCACTGAAATTTTGCTTAATGACATTGTAAATTTGGTATTTGCAATTCTACATGGTCACTTTGTAAGACACTTAGTTTCTTTTATTCATAACTTTTAATAAATCTGCCAAATCTGTGTCAAAATAGATGTCTTTCAATTTCAACTGTTGATGCCACGTTTATTTTCAAGGATATTTTGATAAAATTGACATTTAAACAAAATTTAATATTTTCTTTCTAAATATGCAATTATTTCTACTGTGTACCGATTAATTTTTATTCCATATCTTTTTAAATTATGTTACTATTTCAATGACAGACACCACTTTTTCTACATTTTCAAAGTTGACAATTTCATAGGTGTTTTTCAAATTTGTTGCACTTATTGTCTCCCTACACATATAAAAACACACATATTTGTTGTCTTCCTGTACATATGAAAATAGTCCCAATAAAGAACGCTTATCAATTTGGTGGGCTAACCATAAGGTTTGAAGTTCTTTCACAAAAAAATTTAAGTTGAAAACTTTAGTGGATGAAATATCGGAGAAATTCAACTAAAAAAAAAGTACACCTCCTTGTAGAACACTGTCTCATCTTTAATAATCAGTTGGTTTCATATCTCTGTGTCCATACAACTTGAGGTACAAGCAAATCAAAAAAATTTTATACTAAGCTTGTTTTGTGCAAAACAATTTGGTACAACATATTGAAATTTGTATTGCTAACCAAGTGAATGAACATCAACTGAACCTCATTTTAAATCAGGCTTGTTTCATCAAAGGATATTACACAGTTTAAATCTTTTCTTATATTTTCTTTAATGATGCATTTTAAAACTGTATAAACTACATATTGTATTTTGTCCAAACCGTCATACTCAAATCCCTTTTGCCTCAGCTGTTTCATTTTGTGCAGAATTCATGTTCTAAAATAGAAAAATACATAAACAAGTATGTATTCTTAGTTCTTTAAATTTCACAGGCATGTTAGTAAAATATTAAAATAAGATTTTTAAAAGTGTCTCATTTTTCTTTTAATAGTCATTCATTTCATTTACAATTGTGGCTGGTAAATTCTTCTGTAATTCTTGGGATTTCATTCTTAATGGAAGTTCATCTTCACCTCTAAAAAGAAAAGGCAGTCAGTGAATCTGAGTATTCAAACTTTAGCATTTGTTATGTAGAAGAACTACCTCAAATTCAGTTACAAGTGCCAAGGCCAATGGGTTACAGTATATTATTACAT